TTTATGGAGGTACCTGCCCTGACTCAGCGGAGAGGAACATTTTATTTTCAATGAAAAAAGAACTGGTCAGTCTCAACTCAAAGGGTTAAAACACAAGATGGTCTGCTCAGTAAGCAAAACGTTTGATTCTCTGCACTGTTCTTTGTATTGTTTCTTTGGCGACATTTGATCTCAAAGGTTTGCTGCATCTTTGTGCAATCACTACTACGGATTTAAATTCCTGTTCTTGGCAAAAGCTCCTGGGTTTGATCAACAGCTGCCTTTCCCTCGGCTTCTAGGCGGGCGGCAGTCTTGGTAGAAGAAGCTGAGGGGAGGGGGCCAGCCCTCTAGCCTGCTGGGAAGGGGGTGCTATGAGGCTGGGGCCAGAACCCAGGAACCAAAACATTCATGGCTTCTCCTGTATCTGAGTTCGAAAGACGTGCTGGGAGCAGGCATGGCTTCTGGCAGCTGGGCGCCTTTGAACCTTAGAACACTGCCCTCCGCTGCCACAGAGCTGGGCCTGCTCCTTCTGCTCACAGGGACAGAGCGGGGCCCATTCTGCCCTGCATTTCAAACTTCAGCAAAGGAGCAAGTGCAAAGCAAAGACGTGATGTCTTCTTGGCAAGGACTGTAGCTTACTTCACCTGCTAACTGTGCCTTCAGAAACAGGGTTTATGGTCCTGGGTCCGTGGAGGGAGCAAGGGGAGGCTGTGTGTTACCATAACTCCCGCAGGCCTCCATGAGCGCCAGGGCCCTCTCTGGGGACCCAATCAGCCGCATGCAGTGGTGGATCCTGCCGGGCCCCAGTCTGCTCTGGGTGACCTCAAAGCCACGGCCGGGCCGAGACCATGTTCTCCTTGGGCATGTGCACATCCTCAAACAGAACGTTACCATGGCCAAGACCCAGACACGTCCCTGGGAGTGGCCTGCTGTACCTGTACTCTGCTGACGGCCTCACCCTTGCATCACATGACCTTACAGGCTGGCAGGACTCCTGCTTTTACTTAAAACTGCGACCCGGGTGAAGAGGACGGCAGGAGCGGTTTGGCTAGACAACGCCGAGTGAGTATTCCCCATTCCTTTTAGGACACATGACTGTGCCTTACGCTGAAGCTCCCTCGTGGTCTGTGCTCCGAAGATGTAGTTACTCTGCGGAGAAGCTGTCAGGACAGTGTGAGTGTTTGGGGCTGAGAAGCAGCCCGGTGAAACTCCGCACCCCGGGGCCGTCGCGGGCAGTGACCAGAACAGGCTGCGTGGAGAGGCATTCCCTGCTTCCTTCCTCCGCCCTGGGGAGCCTGCTGCTCTCGCACAGATTTCGGCTTGGCTTCTCGGAAGGAAATATGCCGAGTGCTGGTCTACAGTCCGTGCACGTGGTTGCTACGTTGGGATGAGGTGACTGCAGGGCCGAGCTGTCCTCCGGGGCTGTCCCAGCCGGAGCTGAGCAAGGGCTGTCCAGAGCCACTTCCCTGAGGACCAGCCCCACCACCCAGAGGCGCTGCTGAGACAGGCGGGGGGACCTGGTGCATCCTCCAGTCTGTACTGTCAGGGGCTGGATGACTTTGGTCCCCAGGGTCTCCATGGAGACCAGGGGCACCGACTGCTGCCAGTGGCACAGGCCCTGCGGGTCTGTTTTCCCCAGAAACACGCAGAGTTGGCAGCGAGGATCCAGGATGCATGCCAGGAAGAGATAGGCCTCATCACTGATGCTAGGGCCATTGGGCCCCATTGCCCCCCGCAGGCCTGGCACAGGGACAGCAGAGGCAGCCAGTGGACAGCTGTGGGGACCTCAGCGTGCTCCGAGGGTCTGCAGGCTCTTGACCAGAAATATGAGCAATTGACGTTGTTCTGTGAAGAATGAATCCAAAACTCTTCAGAGCAATTCTTTTAAAAAGCAGCAGCAGGTGGAAGTGAACCCGGAATCTAGAGACCAGAGGCTGGATGCTGCTGCTGTGTCTTTGCCGAGCTTCTGCTCTGCTTCCACGGCCGCGTGAACACGGCGCCCTTCAGATCGGGCCGACCTGTGATTCGGGTTCCCTGTGCACTGGCAGGGGTTACTACCTCAGGCCAGTCACTCTGAGTCCCAGCTTCCTCCCCTGTAAAACCGGGCATGCGCACCCTGCCTCCTGGGGAGGTGCGGGGGCAGGCCTGAGGGGTGCCTGCAGAGGTAGCTCCATGAGCTCGGGAACCCTTCAGTGCGGTTGCCTCCCTGCTCCCGGCAAGCGCATGCACCACAGGAGGAAACGCCGCCCGGTCCTGCGCCATCCCCGTGATTGGCTGGGAGCCTCCGTTGTGCTCTGAGGGTTTCACTGGCTGATTTCGGGAAGCCGCCAGCCAGGCCTGCCTTCCTACTCCATCTTCATCCGGAGGGTCTGCTGCACCTATCCAGCATCCTGCTGACACAGCCCTCAGGGTCTTACAGAGCCAGTCCAGGAGCAAGGAAAGCCACAGAGGCAGTGAAGTTCCAGAAGGAGGTGCCCACGGCAGCATGGGGAGCAGGAAGGAACAAACAAGAGACTCCTGGAGTCATGCATGCAGGGGGCCCTGTCACATCTGCGGCCCCGCAGCCCTTGAAACCAAGTCTCCATGTGGTGGTGCTGGTCTCACAGGGCTTGCTCCCGTGGCCTGTGTCCACTGGAAAGTGGTTCCTGCCATTGGGCATGAGAGGGACAGAGAGAAATGCCCGTTAACACAGACCCGCTGACGGGTAGCTGACAAGCACATTTCAGCCAGATACCTGAGATCCACCACTTGTGACCGTTTATGACGTGGCAGCCGGTCTCCTCTCTGATGGAAGACTCGATGTTGGTGGCATGTGACGAGGCAGGCTGGCGAGAGCAGACTGCAGTTGGAGCACTCCCCGAGGGCCGGGGCAGCGGAGCCGTGGCCAGCACCACAGGCCTCAGTGGGCAGGCGGCCCAGGCGCGGGCAGAGCAGCAGGGGGCCCTGCTCTCCAGCGGCGGCAGCAGTCAGCAGGCCTCTGAGGCTCCGTGTTCCCTGTGTCTGAAGCAGAGCAGTTAGACTCGCACTGCCCCAGAGGCAGTGGGCCCGGACCCCTTCCAGGCCACCGACCCCTCTAACCATCTAATGGAGGGCTTCCTCTCCCCAGAGAAATGCAGACACTCGGCATTTAGCTTCATGTATCTGGGGCTCTGAAGTTAGGTGCATATGTATTTGTAATCGTCATATCTTCTTGATGAATCGACCCTCTGATCATTGTATAATATTCTTCTTTGTCTTTTACAATAGATTTTTGATTTGAAGTCTATTTTATCTGATATGAAAAATGCCACTCCAGATCTCTTAGTTACTGTTTTGTAAATGGAATATTGTTTTCCATCCTGTCACTTTCACACTAGTCTTTGTGCTTAAGAGATGCTTCTTGCAAAAAGCGTATGGATGGATCTTGTTTTTAATCCGTTCTGCTATGCTGTGCCTTTTGATTGGAGCAGTGAAACTATGCACATTCATGGTAATTACAGATAAGGAAGGACTGTTTCTGCCATTTTGTTATGTTTCTATGTCTCTTATACATTCTTTGAGGAGCCGTGGTAGCGCAGTGATTAGGTACTCGGCTGCTAACCAAAAGGTCAGTGATTTAAACCCACCAGCCACTGTGGGAGAAAGATGTGGCAGTCTGCCTCTGTAAAGATTATAGCCTTAGACACTGTATGGGGCAGTTCTACTGTCTGGTAGGGTTGCTGTGAGTTGAAATTGACTTAATAGCAGTGGATTTGGTTTTGGTTGATATCTTCTTTGTAACATTTTGAATATATCTCAGACCCCATGAAGCCCAGCCTTGGAGCCCCTCCTTGTTTGACAGAAGGTGACAGAAGGCTGGGGTAGAACTGGAGA